CGAGCCACCTCGGGAAGCGCATTTCTCGAAGGGTAGCTAGTAGTCGGACGTGGTTGACCGTGTCAAAGGCGCCTGAGATGTCCAGCTGGAGGAGCGACGCTGTGGCTTTCTGTCTCCAGGCTTCTTGTGCCTGCGCTACTACCAGTCGGATTGCCAGCTCTGTCGACCGGTGCGCCCCGTTGCCCATCTGCTCATCTGGAAGTAAGCCGTTGGTTTCCGCGGCTTGAGTGACCTTCTTGGCCACTACTGATTCATTACCTTCCCCAAAGTCGGTAGTAGAGCAATGGGCCTGTAGCCTCCCGGCGTCTGATATACTAGCGGAGCCTTTCCCGGCTTTGGTAGCACTACGGTCTTTGCTCTTTTGCACCAGCTCGTCCGCTGGGATATACCATGCCATCCCCGCTCAGCCCAAAGTCGATAAGCACGGTGCCCCGGGCTCGCTGAAGAAGATATTGCCGGGTTTGATGTCGTTTATGACGTATTGGCTGGCTCAAGACAACGAATGAGTTGTCTTGGGGAGGTTGCTGCGTACCTTTTTTCGCGTTATGTTACTTTACTCAGCGGTACCTATAAAAACAACCAAAACAGTTGCGTATGCCGCTACAGATACCAGAACGGTTTCTAGCTCGTTATTACCAGCGTAGCCACCAGGTCTTTGTGGAGCACCATGATCAGCATTGGCATGATTAGGGCAGCTCCGCCCGCCAGCCCCATCCCAAGACGCTCAAGATATGATGTTGGGCCGTGACTCTGTCGAGGATATGACGTGAAGTGCTGGGAAGAATGTTGACTCGCGCCTTGTATTTGCTTCTGTCGGTAGCTTGGGAGAAGAGCTCCTCACAATGGGGCTGCAGCAGCGGCACCAAACCCGCGTCTTTCATCAGGCAGAGATCTAGAACGTGTCGCGTCGAGATCTCAAACGGATCGTCCTCGTCGTTATCTTGAGCTTGCTTCAGCCGCTCGGCCATGAAGTCATGGTCACGAACAGCGTTGCAGTAGTCGGTAAGCAGCTCCTTCGCCTTGTGCATCAAGTCATTTTCGGCGATCCCGCCCGTGTAGATGTTGGACACAATCTCTGCCAGCTCGCTCCGCTGCTGCCCAAGCACCATACGCTGCAGAGTGGCGAGGTAAATATTGTAGGCAAACGGCTTGTGCCCCGGACCGACTGGCTTCTTGCTGAATAGGTGGATGTTGCCCGCCGCTGCCAAACGCTCGGGGAGCGCCAGGCGGGCGAGATTCGAGGCTCGTTCTGGTCTCGCTGGATCCGGCGATCGCAGTGAGGCCGTTGGGGCTTCGCCTCCTTCCTGGGGAATATTAGAGAGCGATGAATGCCTGTGAGGCGGGCCTGGGAGATATTCAATTAGGACGTACGCCGCCAGTGGCGCAATTCGGAAGGCCACCTTGTCCGTGACTGTGCCATTGAATAACAGATACCAAGATTGAGATTAGAGATGAAAACAATGATAATAGGCTGGGTAGGGTTACGGAACTGGTGGGATAGTAGGCGACAATCCCACTCTGCATGTAAAGTGTAGAGCAGTACGGCGGGGAGGGGATAAGTTCAGCATGAAATACATACTTAATGCTATGCAGCTAGAACAAAAGATAAGGCAACATGATAGAAATCTTTCGAGAGAGAAGCTAAGGTGGAAAATTGAATGCCTTAAACAGAGCGACAAACAACAAACAAACAGGTGAGCAATCAACGTCCTGCACGTCAGGATGGCATCAATTGTCTTCTCATGTGCATCTTGCCTGCAGCTACCACCGCCCAAACATGCACTCTCTCACATCTCCCACTTTTCCCACAGGGTGTCCTTTCATTCTTCCTCTAGTATCGAGTAAACCGTTTCTGGGATGGTTAGACGTTTGTCCACAGGCAAGTTGCAGTGATCCATCAAACCAATAGTGATTACCGAGTAACGGCTGGAATATGAACGCCAATGAGACAAAGCGGAAAGTTGTTTGAGAGATCCATGGATGAGTGATAATCACCCATCGAACCTATAGACACGTTAACAGGTCCCAGAATACCTTATATGGGTGGTCGAGCTGCAACCAAAACAACAGTCCAGCTTCTCAGTTTACTACCGTACCATACACTGTAATTAAGTGAGGACAAGCAGCCTTCAAGTTATCGCGACGGCTCGTCGGAGCCATAAAGAGTTATGCACAAGGGTCCCTGCTCCTTCCCTTTTCGATGCCAATGAACTACCTGCGAGCAGCAGCTGCGAGTCTCCTTGTGGCTTGATGCCAAAATAACTGTTTCGTCCGTGGTTACATGTAGGGGAAAGCCCGCTTACACGGCGCCTCTTGCCTTACTTCCTTCAAGACTGGCCAGGCCGAGTACCTTGGCTGCCATTCTGGCTGCAACTTGGTGACAACTTGAACCGGCCGCCGTCTTCCCATCAAGCTCCCAAACACGCCATTCTTCCAACCTTGATCCCTAGATCCACCGTTCGCCCACCTATCTACAGTCCTACCCCAAGTCGAAGATATTGTCAACATGGCCCTGGTCCAACAGAGCCAACATGACCAAAGCCGTGAGTTTCAGTTCCCCGATTGCGAACCTGGAAGCTCTGCAAGCTGTCATGACTCACTGCTGATCTGCTTCCTCCACCTCAGCAATCGCCATATCGATCGAACTGACAAGTGCTATCGTTTCCTTCGAGTGGGTGCTCCAGTACTACAACCAGCACTTACCGACCCGAGTCCAAGAAATCGTGCGCCGGCCGCACCTGCGCTTTGTGAGGGCGGCGAGAGTCCTTTTCCACGAGACAGCATTCCCCTACCTGCCGGACATTGTCCGCGGCGTTTTCAACTTCTTCATGCAACTCCACGGTGTTCGAATGCGCCAGATCGACGACGATCCGAGTCTCAACGATGCCGGGAGAGCCGCTGCTCGCTACGAATTTTACCAGAAAGCCCTGTGGAGGCTGAGGATTCTGTTGGCTCGGTGGGAACGTGTCTTGCCACATGGCATCACGCCATCGCCAGCAGTGCGATCGGCCAGCATAGCCGTTCGCTATCTCTGGCATGTTTGCGGAAGCTTGCGCCGTTCCAACTTCCAAGACTACCTGCAGAAAAGTGGGCGGTGTCAGAGGCGGCAGAGCTATGTCACTGCCAGGGCCCGCTGCCCAGCCGGTGGGGCTCGGCGGAGGGCAGCCTCCGTATGAGAAGGATAGTGAAGGGTTGAAAGAGGGAGTGAACGATATGGAACATGACAATGGCAAACAAGGTTAAGATTGCATTTCTCCGGGTACCTTTACTACAGCAGAGCAACAGCGGATCCAGCAGCTTGGACATCTCTTCTTTACCGCAAGTTTCATGCAATTCGAGGAATGATACTTATAAAGCGGCAACTTGACTTTTTCTTGTTTGGTCACACATTTCCTGTTCCAATCCAACAATCAGACATGCTTGGGCGGGAAGTTCTGCTTATCCCGTCAGGACTCCGCCAATGATACCAAACATAGCGATGCCAGTTTGGATGGTCTCGACCGCGGCAGCAGGTGACAGAGAAAGGGCGTCTTGTCTGACGGCCTTCACCAGGTTGCCATTGCCAGTACCGGTTAGTGAAGGATATCTCCTTCCGTTTCATGTGCATCAAAGCCCTGTTTGCTCTCACACATGGCGCAAAGCAGATGCCTCCCAAAATGCTAACCACCGCTCCAAGAGCTTTCAGCGCTGAGAACATCTAATCTTATCCCCTATGACACACACGCACACCCGCCGTTCCCTAAGATCTCTTATTCTTATTTTCCCACCATGCACGGTGGAGTCCTTCTTTCTCTCCTTTTGGCGAACACTGGTTCCCTAGCGCTTTCAACCCCTCCCATTGAACGCCGAGGATTTGTCATTGACAGACCGGCAGTCAAGCCCCCTTTTTCCGAAGCCGCCCAAAACAAAGATCTCGACGAGGATCTCTCGCCGGTGCCATGGATTGAAAAAGCATGGGACCCGGACTGGCTGCCCCAAGCCTGTGTCATTGAGGCGAACTTCACCGGCTTCGACCCCTCTGAGTTTGAGGCTGTCGAGGTCATGTACGAGGACTGCGCCGCATCATGGACTGTTTGTCGGCACAGACAGGCTGACGAGTCATGGTTTTACATCCTGGAGGTGAGCAAGACTGATAACCTTTCGTAAACTCAGCTCTGTTGAGGGCTAACATTAGTTCAGACATTCAGCAAAGTCCCCGTCGGCCTCCGCCAGTATATTTCCAACGCCGTCGTTGTTCCTCGGCCCGAGCATTCAGCCTCTGAGCCTCAAATGGAGCTCCCTTCAGCCTATGCTCGCCCGGAAGTTGGTGTAATTACCTTCATGCCTTCCTGTGAGTGTGGAGACCATGCTATCTTCCTTGGCTTTAGTCTGACACCGCACCAGACTTCAAACTCGGCATCATCTTCCACGAAGCAGCCCGTAAGTGTACTTCATTTATATGTTTTCCGTCACTACCATTGCCTGGCACCATTTGTCTTGTGTTGTGTTCCTCAAACACACAACCGTCCCTGAAGCATTTCTCTCGCCTCACAAGCAGCACTCGCCTGGCCAAGTTGACTTGACACAGACCAAACACTAACCCTCCCCCTCTTGTGACCAAATTATCTAGACATCCTCGATCACCTCTGCCCAGAACTGCATGAGTTCCACATATCTTCCGGCAATCCCCTTCACAACACACCAAACCACGACCACAACAACACAACCACCCACAACGAGCAAAGCCAACATGACCCAGCCCCATTCTCCGACACAGCTTTCTAGCACCAAGCCGTGTCCTCGGACAAATCCGTTACGACCACCTACGCAAGGACGAGCTGGGAGGAGGCCTTCGCCGACGCAGTCCGTTGGGCGTTGAGCCACATGACGCACAAGGACGGACTGAGGGCTTACAGCCGCGGGTGGGAAGAATGCAGGGGCCAGGTAGAGGTTGTGGGGGGGTTGTTGAAGGGGGTTATCTGGCCTGCAGGAGGGAAATGTGTTGGGAGGGTGAGGAGCTCTTGGACGAGGGCCGTAAGGGTGAGTGATGGTGGGCATGATGCTGATGATGGTGAGGATGGACGGAGGGAAAGGGGTAGGGGAAGGGGAGGGCCGGCAGGGTTGGAAGGGGTGCCGGAGATTGGGTTCAAGGGGGAGGTGAGGGTTGATTTGGTTGTTTAGCGCCGAGCGGGTTATGCTAAAGAATAAGGGTGGGTGTAGAGAGGGCAATTTGCAGGCGGTCGAAGCGGGTATCAGTTCTTGCATATTCATCGGGTTTTCGAGATTCGAGAATTCAACTCTGCCTGTCCATTCGTGCCATGGCCAGATCTGAAACAGGTTGTCATCGGCGATCAAGGGCTTGCTGCCGCTGGGTACCTGAACCCTCTCCCCCCCAGACAATTTTTGCCGTGGCAAGGACGTTCCCCGCGTTCTAGCAGCAGCCACACTCAATCACTATTCAGATCACCGATTCCCTGTTGACCTCGTGACTCAGTTTGCTCTTCGACAAGGGACTCCTCGGCAGTTCTTCTCATCTTTCTGTATTCAGCCACTTCCTGGATTGGCTTTCAGTGATAGCCTAGACTGTACCAAGACTGTGACTCGCCGCATTGGATTGGGCTGAGTTTGGTAAGATGAAACCAACACAACCCATGATGGAAGAGGATCGCATTTCCCTTTGGAGGTCTGTCTTACATCCCCCCCCCCCCCCCCGGTTGTTTTCCAGGACCCGATCGCGCCATTCTATTAGCCTTCCTCTTTGTCTGTAGCAGACTTACTCAAAAGTCAATATCTGAGACCCGCATACACCGGTTATCGTATGTTCTCTCTTTGTATTCACCTGATGAGTCCATACCAAGCGCGATACCCGAGACTCGCCCAAGTTCACCAGAATCCGACGCCCGAGACACGTTCAGTCCATTCCGAGATCGACACCGGAACTCGCCGAATCTTTTGGCAAGCTCAATGCCGTGTGTTGAACTGAACTGGCTCCTTGGCACCTGGATTCAGGGGCTGGGCACTGTTGCCCAATGCAGTAAGCGTGGAAGACTCGTCACCCACCCAAAAGCAGGGTCTGGCGAGGGTCCCGAAGCCCTCGGTTCTTTCAAGCAACACACACATGACGCATGGTTCAGACAGTCAATTCAAGCTTCATCTTGTGCCTCAATTGATGCAGTGTCACCTGGTTGGTCTATGCCTATTCGAGCCTGTAACTGTTGCTGTCCAACACCGTGACTCTCCTGGCTCAGTATTGTAGGACCCGAAACTCACTGGAATCTCGAATTACCATTTGATTCTCTGGTTGGTCCGAAGCTGTCTGCTATTTTCACCCAGACCTCAAAAGTAGGGGCGAAGGAGAAGTTCAACTACTTGAAAAATAAGGGAGGTAATGTTTTTATTCTATACTTCCTATCTCCGCAATATTCACTCACTACCTTACGCGAACTCGGCAACGTATATCTACTTCGACCCCTCAAAGATTCCTCAGCTATAACGGCAATCATGCATCTTATCATTGCGAATCAGGACAATGGATGGGCTTCAAGTGAAATCCACTTTTTCAAAACGAACTTTCATTCCAGTTCATTGTGAACACCTTGCCATCTTTACCTCAGTCAAACTGGTCGAGATAGTCGCTCCTGTGAGTAACAACTGCCACAGGTGCCGCGGGAGGAAATTCCCCTCCCAAGGATTGCCAGCTTGTTCACTCAACCTTCGTGCCAGTGAGATATATGCTCTTATCTGTATTGCAAACAAACAATCGAGATGGTTTGTCCTGCAAGCCACAACTGCCACCGGTGCCCCGGGGCGAGATTCGCCTCCCCAGGATTGCCAGCTCGTCCACCCTGAGCTTTCGTGCCAGTTGACAGAATGGTTGTTCAGTTCAGCATTGAGATTTAGACCTGGAAAGTAGAACGGGAATGAAAGAAAGAGGGAGAGAAGGAGAGAAGACATGCCTGGGAATTGAGATTACCGTTATAAGGTAGAATGGATTCCTCTCTTGTCTCCTGCCCTAAACAACTGAACTGGAGTATCTGTTTCGTACCTTGGTTGACTCCTTTGGCCTTTCCTCAAGTGAGCAGAATATTCACGCACGACCAAAAAGGACGGCAAACATTTTGTTGAACAACCTGAGAGTTGTGTTGCGTGTTGTTGCCCTATGAACGCTGTGCAACTACATATCCAAACACTGGATGACTTTACTGTTGAGAAAATTACCTAACCTGGCTTCAATTCCTTCTCCTCTTCTGCAAGCTGATCCGACCACCAGGGCCTTCAAGTTATTGCTCGCGCTGAGAATTGAGAGCGAGCACTCTTAATCACTTAAGCTCAGCTTCTCAATACCGGCCAAAGATTCCTTCGTTGGCGGTGTTTCGACTCCTCACAAACCACAGGAAGCGCTTATTGTTACCAGAGAGGGTGGAGAGAGGGAAGGGAGGGAGAAAAGAGGAGGTAGAAGGGGGAGAGGGGAAGGAGAGAGAAAGATCAGGAAAAGGCTTAAAGGAAAAGACAAAGTAGTGAAGAGAAGAAAGAAGGAAAAGTAAAGAAGGGGAGAAGGACAGAAGATGGAGAAGAATAGAGATCACGTGTAAATCGAAATCTAATGATAACCAGAACTCAATAGTAGAGATGTAAGATTGTAAACTCTTACCACAACCACCGACCGCGCCATCAACGCCAACAGCACCACTGCAACTGGCAGGTGGTGATCGCATCAATTTGAGCTTGTTTTTTTTTATCGCCAATACGACAGCAAATATGGCCAATCCCGGCGAAAACACCACGCAAACCGGCCCACCGCGGCCTTCACGATTCACGGCGGGTCCGGTTAGAAGCGGGCACCCTCAAGGTAATTCGCAGCCGCATACTCGGGCTATGTCCTATACACGCAGACAGTTCGCACCAATACTCGTGGGGTCACAGCTAGACGTAGTAGTACTCCGGCCTCCCGGGGCAAAGGCGCGGGTAGCGGGCGTTCCGGCAAACACATGACTCAATCTGTCGAGCAACAGCAGAGAACCCGGCTTGGACGTGGCGCACGGGTGGATGATGGTTCCTAGCTTAAGCGTCACACCTCTCAGGAGGACCACATCAGTCATTCCAGCTTCTCGGCCCGCTCTCCTCCGAGCCCGCCAGCCGATTTAAAGCAGGATACCACTGGCTGCAGTCTGCGGTAAGCTGGGCAGTATCTTGATCGGTCAGCTTGCTACATTGTTTTCAGATATCGATACAGTTCAGTAGCATCTTTGTCACGGGATCCCCGTTCCTGTTCTCATGGTCATGTTACATGCCTGTGGTCACTGTTCTCATGATTGTATCATAGGCATGTGCTCCAGCATATAGGTCTGGTTGCACGCCCGTTCCTGTCATCTAGTTCTTGCTCTCTTCGTAGGAATATTGATCTTGTATGTGCGAGCTGACCAGACCTTGGGTGGTGCCCGTCACAATCTTTAAGACCTCTCTCTACTGTGCCTGCGACTGTTGGATGGATGATCGAGCCGACTCCGGTGTGTGTCACCCTCCGCCGGGTTTCTGCTTGTATCATCCGATTGATGCCAGTGGCAGTATATAATGTGTGTTTGAGAATAACGTTAGCGTTAGATGATGTCTTACTAAGAAGAGTAAGAAAAAGAAAAGACTCAATTCCTCGTTTTGTGTCTTCATGTCCAGCAGTTGTGCGTTGTTCACATGGGTTAAGGTATGGTGAGTTGTGTCATCGTCCGAGAACAGTGGCTTAGGTAGCTTACAGTGGCTTACAGTAGCGCCAATTGCCACAGTTTGATCGACCAGCCGGATTGGGCATGACCGAAAGAAATATCAGCCAATCAGAGAGTGGAGCGCTTGGAACGGTAGTTGTGCTGGGAATGCTATTTGCGGTGGGAATGCTAGTTGACGCATCAACGGCAGATTGTATCCCTGGAATGCGAAGTATCATAACCGCCTGGTGCATTTTCCCATTACGGTACTGTGCATGAATCTGTGAACATGACCACGCTGAGATTGGGCGATGTCAACGACAAGAGGATGGTCATTTCTCATCTCTCCATCCACCCTAGTGACCGAGCAATGCCGAAGGAAGAGATCGACTTGTCGGCAATGCAAATGCATATTCATCGTCGATCCGTCCCATAGCTTACTTCGTCTCAAGTCGCCCCTTTTTCCGCCAAGGATCTCGGCCTCCGGTCCGACTGGCCCGGCAATGCAAGCACAAACGGCCCGACGCCACCATTGTCTTGGCATATTGACATCGCGATAGTTGCGGCTTGGCATCGCAAACGAGATGGACGTCGCATCCATTTCAGGATCATTGCGCCGCTGCAGCCTCAGCATCTGCCGAGATGGGACAGGCGACGTTCCCAACGATGCGGTGGCCCGTGGAGCCCCTGAAATTGTCGAAATTGGACTCAGGAGGCTCATCATAAAAGCGAGAAGCGCCTGCGACTTGCTGCTTGTTTGTTGAAACCTCCCCCTTCGACTCAATTCTGTCCAGCTTCTCGCAACCCATCCCACTGCGTCACTCTTTACCACCAAACACCAACTAACCATTGCCAAACCCCGGGCATAACCCACCACCATCTTCACAACCACCACAACCAACCCAAACCACAAGCACCACCACCACTACCATCACAATGTCCGCCGAAGGCCCCAAGCTCGAAAGCCCCGCTGTCCAACCTCAGGCCGAGCAACAAGAACAACAACAACAACCACCTCAGGACCAAAAGCCCGCCGCCTCCGAGGCAGACCAATCCATCACCAACGAAAAGACCAAGACCGCCGAAGAACCCGCCCCCGCCCCGGAGAAGAAGCCTAACTTGCTGAAGAAGGCCTTCTCCGTTTTCAAGACCCTCTTCAAATGCCTCCGCAAGCCAACCGCGCGCCAGGTCGAGGAGCAGGCAAAGGAGCGGGCTACCGAGGAGGGGAACTCGAAGATTGCTGCTGAGGAGCCGCCGGCGGCTGTTGCTGCTGTTCCAGCGGCAGAAGAAGGGGAGAAGAAGGTCCAGGTGGATGCAGCTGCTGCGCCAAAGGATGGGGAGGCGGTGAAGGCTCTTTGATTGAGAGCTGGCTCCGATCTGTGGCGGAGAGGAGGGGGTTGAGGGTGAGTGTGGGTCTGTTGGTGTAGGTGGTGTAAATGTTGCTGATATTCTTTAGTGTTTAGATTTGGGTGATGATTGTTCGGGCGGATTACATCTTTTAATCTCTCTTGTGGTTTCCAAGTACCACTCATCAATATACCCAAACAAATTTCCCTTTTTTTGGCAGGTCGTCCATCTCACATCCATCCATCCATCACGACTGCTCTTGATCCTCCACTCCTGCTCTGCCCCCAGCCCTCTCCTCCCTCGTCCCCATCCGCCTCCCATACCCCGTCTTATCCTCGTGCCCCACGCCCTCCCACGTCTTCGTGTCTGGCAGCCCGTACGTGCTGATGCCCCTGCCCCACGTTGTCCACGGGTTCGTCCACCGCACTACCTCAGCCGGAACCTCCCCGCTCACTATGTCCCGCCAGTCCTTGGGCTTGTCCCGGTGGATCAAGTAGCCGCCCAGGTGGCGGTGCCAGACATCAGGCGGGATCTCATCTCGCTCGTCCCCACACGTCCAGTGCCGGGCTAGAGACAGGCGCAGCTGGCGCTCGATACCGCGGTGGCCGGTGATGGTTGTGATGCGGTGGGCCCAGCCGTAGCAGTAGACGGAGCGGTTCAGTGGCGAAAGGTCGCGAGCGATCTTGTTTGCCATGGGCGGCAGGGTGTTGGATGCGATCAGGGGAGGGATGTCGGGGAGGTTGATGTCGGGTACGATTTGCACGGGCAGGTGCAGGTCGGGTGGGATGGGGACCGTCGACCATTGTTGGAGAGTTTGGCGAAGGGTGTCTGGGGATGGGGGTTCATCCGAGGAAGCGTCTGACGGAGGGAGAACCATCGCCGCCCTGACTTCTTCTGAGTGCGTTGAGATGGCACCGATGAGCTTGCGGAAGTAGGCAGCTGCAAGCCGGGTGCAGACCAACTTGCGTCCGCGTAGTGCTGGGTACAAGACGGCGGGCAAGATGTCCTGCCGGGGCACCAGTTCATTGTTGTCGGTTTCATGTTCAAGGAGGGACTTGGTGATAATCTGCTGTTGAGATTCTGGCTGCAGAGGGACGGGCCCATGATGGAGGTCGGTGACCAACGCAACCAACACACTCGGATCGAGGTTAACTGCCTCGGTCAAACGTCCACAGTCATCGCCGACCAGCGGATCCCGGTCCTGGACGAGGGCGGCGATGGCTTCGTCGAGGGCCGGAGCTGCTTTGATGAGAAACGGGCTGCCGGCACAGCTGACTTCCACGGAAACGTCATGACCCCCGATTTTGTGCCTGATGTAGTGGATTATTCTATCGACGAGCTCTGATTTCCCGTCTTGAAGCCCCGGCAGGATGAGGTGAAGGTGGTGGCAGTGATTCCATCGTGCTGCTAGGATGATCTTCTTAACCGTGTACGCAAAGTCGGTATGGCCAAGTCCTTCATCAGCGTTCCCATCTCCCTCGTCGTCCTCAGGCTCACTCGCCCAACCTTCGGCGACGACCTGGTACTCGAGCGTCTTCGAAGAGATGGCGATGAATTTGATCCAGGTGGCGCCGCTGTCAACCACAGCATCGATGGCGACGGGCCGCTCCTGGAACGGTTGGTCCTTGTATGCCAGCCAACCGGCATCGGCAGGGACGGGCAGACGCGGGCTGCGGGGGAAGTCCTTGTTGATGGCGACCAGGCCGCGGCACTTCTTGACGACGGCCCATCTGTCATCCCAGCAGCAGCTCCTGATGCCAAAGTACTGGGCCTGCGAGATTGCTCTCTGGTTTTTCTGGGCGACTTTGTCCAGGGCGCGTTGCTGGACCTTCAGCAGCGCATGCAGTCCCCGTACCGGGCGGTCTGCTGCATGCGCTGCCTGCTGAAGGCTTTCCAGTTCAACAAGACACGTCCTCCATTGAGTGATGAGGGCTTCAATGCAGCCGTACACGGCCTCATCCTTCAGGTCCTGTGGGGCAGCCGTTGTGCCTGTCGCTTGTGCTGGGACATCATTGTCCGGAATGAGTGGTGGTACCATTGTTTGCTGGCGGTTCAATCTGATTGGATTTCCGTTTGTCGCTCTTTATGAGGGGCTGCATTCGGCTCGGCGAAATCTGCAGCACCACTAGTCGGAGGGTCAGGGTTTCATTCGTGCAGCGTCCAAGACTTTGCCCACAAAACTTGAAGTCCCGTGTCTGCTCGGACCTTGGAAGGTTCCACAACTGAAAAGTTACGGTAGCTACAGAGGTTACCGGCAAAAGTTTTCCAAGTGGGCCAGGTACTGGCAAAGGTGGACCACCACCCCCTCGATGTACCTTCACCATGACAGCGCGTCGCATACGCAACAGTCAATTCAGAAAGGAATATACATTCCGTTGGCATCAATAACTGCCTGTTGCCGTATGGGCATTGTATCTACACACTCCCTTAGAAATTCCTCAGGGACTGCATCCCACGCAGCGCGTACTGCCTCTCGCAGTTGATCGTATGACATCTTTGCTGGGTAGTTGACTGCAATGTAATCCTTCATCCAGTTCCACGCGTTCTCGATAGGATTCAAATCAGGGCTAAACGGGGGATGGGAATAAACAGAGATCCCTCGAGCCTCGAGCTCCTCGCGTGTCACTTGCGCAGAATGAGGAGAGGCATTGTCATGCATGAACACCTGACCTGGATGGAGACGAAACCACCCGTCAATAAGAGGGACCACTCTCTCTGTGTACTTCTCTCCAGTGATCGTCCCCCAATCTTTCTCCCAAAAAAGAGAAGGCCCTTTGCCATATTTCACTGAGTACGACCCCCAGAACATCCATCCTTTTGGCCGTGGTTCGCGCTCGACAATGCAAGTGGGATCGTATGCTTCGTTTTGACGGCGTGTGACCCAGACCTTTCGATGGGTACCAGCAGTCACCCAGATCTCGTCGGTCCAGAGGATTTCGTGATATCGCTCGAGGGGCCAGTATACACGCTCGAGAGCGTCGTTAAGGCGGAGTTGTCGGTTCTTCTCGGTAATCGGAGGCTTTCGGTATGCAACATAGCGTTTAAAGCCAGCGTTGCGAAGAGCGTAACGGATGGCGTACTCTGAACAATCCCAACCAAGAGCAAGAGGAATCTTCGAGTAAGGCATTCGGCGAGAGGCTTTCGAGGAGGTAACAAAGGCAATTAGCTCTTCAATCTGTTCAGGATTGAGAAGGCTAGGTCGGCCAGAGCGTTTTTTTTGGCGTAACATTTGGAGCGCGGCAGGCATGTCCAACTTGGTCGTAAGTAAGCCCAAGTTGTGCGACGATTTGATCGTACGACAGGCCAAAATTGCGGAGGGTTTGAACTTGAAGCCGCTCATCGCGGGAAAGATCACAGCTCTTGAAACGCTGGCTGGGTGGCGTAGAGGGGGGCTCCATTTAAGGTGATGGTGTTGGTGATGACTGTTGCGCGTGCGACGCGCTGTCATGGTGAAGGTACATCGAGGGGATGGTGGTCCACCTTTGCCAGTACCTGGCCCACTTGGAAAACTTTTGCCGGTAACCTCCGTATGTATGTACGGATACAAGGACAGGAAATCGCACCCTCTCCGAAACGCACGGTCAAGGCAAGGTACTGTAGCTTACCTTTTAGCAGCAGCATACATTGCAGAGTATCCGGCCAAAAGAGGGCCACAAACAAGCGTAACCATGATACATTGGTTCGCCGCTCTGTGGAATTATCCATGCTTCCCGCTCTGTTGGCCAATAAGACAGAGATTAACACCTTGAACTGGTTAGAGAAAAGACAGTTTCATACTCGGTACTGTGGTACATTTAAGGAAGAGGCTCGGCCGGGGGCTGCACAGATGGGTATAAAATGGGAAAAGGAAGACGACAGTTCCCCTTCTGCATTGCGAGACTAAGCAGCTACTCCGGCTTACTCTTCCATTCCAATATGCCGGCCTCAACTCCTCGCAACATGGCTGACCCGCCCATCCAACCTCGGCCGAGCGCCATGACGATTGACGCCGAGGAACCTAAACATCCCCGTCAGCCTCCCCCATCACCTTGATCCGTCGCTGCCGGCGCCGCCCTACCACCCGGGCACTATGAGAGCCGAAGAGTCCCGCGACTTGCACGCCATGCCCTTGCTCCGGCAGCTGGTGGCCCAGATCGTCTCACACCTGTTCAGCCCAGAGCATGCCACGGTTGCTCTGGAGGCCCGCACCGGGGCCACCTCGCCCTGCGACCATCGTCTGTTGGTCCACCGGAAGCTGAGCACCATCGCTGACAAGGAAACGACCTCGAGTTCGCAGAGGGACGTTGGAAGGATGTGTACGGTGACGAGGGCCACGGCCCTATAAAAGCGTATGATAAGGACCCATGGGGCCGGGTTAGTATCTTTCACGAAGTCAAGATGTCTCTCATCCGTGGGGTATGGGATGCGGAGCAGCTGAGGGAGTTGAAGCCCAGGGTGCTTCGGTTTGGCCTGGTGCAAGAGGGCGATAGGGAGTCGTGGGCACGAACTTGTATTCGAGGTGGGAGAGTACTTCGAATACTTTTGGAAACACCATCTCATCGGTACCCTCGCCGTACCTATGGAGTTCTCGGATACCCCTGCACCCAATGTTGACCAGTCGCTGTCATTGAGTATACTTATGTATCTAGTAAAGTAGATGTCCTTCATTCAAAGCCTTCAGACAATGGCCCGCGGAGGACTCCAGTTTTCTTTCTATTCATCAAGGGGCATTTCCTGGCCTTTGATTCCAAGTTGGCTCCGTTTTGTAGAAGCAACATTGTCCCGAATTCAAAGTCGCGCTCAATCGCCATATGTAGCGGAGTCCATCCCGAGACGTCATATGCGTTTACATCCAGGCCTTGCTCGCCCTGCGACAGCAGGATACGTAGAACGCTCTCTCGCCGGTGAAGAACTGCCCAATGCAACGCAGACCGACCGTCACGATCTACCACGCCGACTCGTGCGCCGTGCGCAAGCAAGAAGCGGACCACCGTCTCATGACCCTCGATGACGGCATACACAAGAGCCGTCCGACCGTCGCTGTCTCGCTCATTGCAGTCTACCTTTTCCTGCTGCAATAACATGCGTACAATCGAGTCGTTGCCCTTTTGCGCCGCGATGTGAAGCGTCCCCAGCCACCCGTTCATGGCATCCTCGGGGGATAGTGTCGATAATACCCGCAGCGACGCATCAGGACAGGACTCGTAAAGTACCTGCATGCTATCTCGCGGCGGTGGCAAGACTGATATCGTAGAGCGGGGCTCGGGAAGAGTAACACGAGAAATAGCGTGGTGTTGCTGCGAATTCAGTTCGGCGTCGTGCGGGATATCCAGGCCACTGACAGGCACAGTCATGGCCAGTCCGCTCCCAGTTTGGAGTGAGTCTGGGTGGGTGGCAGATCTGTTCCTCGACGGGGAAGTTCCGGACAGTGTCGATGCCGGATTGAACGTTGAATCTTGGTTGACTGGTGCTATGCCATGGACGGCGGCCGTCGGCGAAACGCCGGGAAGTTGAATCGAGCCGTCATCTCCATAGATAAACGCGTCAAACTCGTCTATGCCGCCAACGTTTATCTCGGGTTCGACTACCGTAATGCCGACTTGATCGACAGTGTCGTGGGGGCCTGGCAACAATGCGGGATGGCTAGACGTTGAAGGGACGAAGGACGAGACGAAGGAAGTCGACGTGGCATGTCCATTAGGGTGGGCGATCTGTGGTTGTGGTTGGTTCACATGCCCTCGAGGAACGGAGGCTTCTGCATGTTTCACTACCTTAGGTAGCCAGTAGGCGTCTACAGGTTAGACTTCACATGTGCCTGTCGGGACAAGCACCGTACTTACGGCGGAATCTGCGTTGAGCGAGCCGGTTTTGGCGGCGGCGGCGCTCGGTGGGGTCGTCGCTAGGCAAACGAAGTTCAAATTCCATCGTGTTCCGGCTGTTATTGTGCGCCGTGTGCCGACATTCGGGGAGAAACCGTGCGCCGGATGTGAAGATCTCCTTGAAAGAGGGATAGGAGCTGGTAGCTGGAGTGCTAACGAGCGGAGGAATGAGACGAGGGGTAAAAGCGAGTCCAGTACAGAGTACGGAGGTCCCTACCAAAAGTCTTGCTTCACCGCCTTAAAATCACAGTGGTTCTGCTTGGCAGAGTACTCTCCTATGGCCAGTAAACTAAATAGGCGGTGTAATAAAACTTTTGATAGGGACATCCGTAGAATCCGACATTCTGAATGCTCCAATGATATAACGATGTGTTAATGTATTTCAGAGGCGGGGCTGTCATCTGCGGGTCGTCCGGCGGATCACCCACCAAAACTGCCCTGAGATAACCACTTGATACCTCTGTTTGGAGGGCCTGGGAGCTATGTCTGCATTATATTATTTACTTTTCGCCACTGACGCAGTTCTTTTGACATCACTTGCCGCTGACCTGAGGTCACCGCCACCTCGACAAGTTAGGAGACAAATGTGCAGATTTGGCAAGGGGCGCGACGAAGCGGATTAACGCAAGATATGATCCTCTGAGATGATCGAGTAAGGAGGTCCATGGGGGCCGAGAAAACAACAAGCTCCTCGTCGATTGAGCCCAAGTGTAGCCACTTTTTTCACGACGACCACCGGCTGGAGCACCCAGATCAGTTTCTACGAGCAGATCATCGCATACGATGTCCCAGACAGGCACAAGACGGTGGCGCGCCTTGACCGTGGCAGGCGATTCCCGGTCGTGAGTGCCGCGAGTGGTTGGTGCACGGGGGACAGTGCTGGGGCTGCATCGCGAAGGGTCCCGATGCCGTGAGTTAACACAAATGTTATTATATCACGTAACCGAGGCAAAACCTCAGAGAACATCCACAGGATCTATTCCACGGCGCCGTCACCCTGCGTTCTCCTCCCGCAAATCTCCTCCACCTCCCACTCCCCCCCGTTGTCATCGCCAACCGCTGGCGAGAGTGCCATCACACAATCTCCGAGATCCGCTTCGAGAGGGGTCGGCGGTTTTGAGCTTAGTGTGACACCTCACCTCAATAGCCCCGGCACTGCGCCCCGGGAACTGCTCGGCGATCTCGATCCAAGAGAGTCCCTTCCCCTTCAGCCGAAGGATTGTTGCGTCGTCCGCCGGAGTGTATCTCGCCCTCCTTGACGTTGAAGTTGGCTTGTTCTTGAGCTTTGTGGTCCCGTTGCTCTTCTGTCTCGCTGGGCGGTGTTTCTTCGTGATGCCCTGATTCTCCGTTCCGCTGTACCCCGCTCCATGTAAAATATGCCTTCACAGATTAGGCAACGGGCCTCTCTCTTTTCGGCGGGCTTTGGCTCGGCTGGCCCCCTCTGGTTACTCCGGCTCCAGGAGGACGGCGAGGATGCGAGAAAGGTCCAGCCGCTACCGAGAGAGTAGCGAAGCCGAGCCCAACCGCAGGATCATCACTATCAAGGCCAGGATCTGCTTGCTCTCATGCTCGGAAAAGGGACGGCCGGCGCGGAGGTGGTCGCTAAAGGAGCCCTCGGGCATATATTCGAGGTGAAGCCAAGGCGATGGCGCCGAACACGAGTTGAGCAACGAGACGATGTGCTTCTGTGAACGAGGTCAGCGATTCGCCGTCGCGTGATAGAGATAGAGAGGCCACTGACCTAGTTGACTCGTTCCATGATGACTATCTCCCTCTCCACTGAACTTCATGGCCCAAGTCTTCCTTTGGCTTCTTGAGCGCGTCCTACTCGCCGGTGCTGACGTTCCAGACGTGGTAGACTACACCAAAGCCGCCGGCGCCGAGTTCCTTGGGCACCGTCACGGGCTTGCCGGCCCCCGAGGCAGGTGTCCGCACGCCCGACACACATGCTGAATCAAGACCTTTTTTTCCCAAAAGCTGAAAACATCGCTGTTCTTCGTTGTGGAGACATGCTTCGTTGCTGGCCTTTCTCAAGATCTGGCTGTAGCCGCCGCCTCGTAAGACGGTTGAATCCCCGCTCTATGTTGTCCTCCAGCTATGTAGGTTATTAGCAACCATCAAACTAGAAAGCGACTAGTTAGACTGACATTGCTGCACTTAAAAGTCAGCCACACTACCAGTGTCAATAACATAGTTCCCAACGCGAAGGGAATATAAATCCACCAAGGAGGGTCGGATGCCAAGACGTCGACGTTCATGCCAAAGAGACTCTATATCCGTGTTAGGCACCGGCTTTGCGATAGGAAGCATAACGTCAAGGATCATACTGCGATGAACATAAGTGGGAGAAAGACAAACTACCACCATAAACCGTTAGCAGTTGATATGCTAATTGGACAAGCATTAGCACTTACAGTAATCCAGCTAAGGCGCTTCATGCTGAGGTTTGTTGCTCTTGACTTTTGTGCTTCCGCGATTGACGCGAGATTGAACTCCTACTACGTGTCAGCCAGCAATCCCTTGAATGGAAAGGACTTATCTAGTACTAGTTGAATGAGATCCCGGGAAGTGTCCGCCAAGGCTTTTAGCCTATTCCTATACTCCTTTTCGAGGTCTTCTATGCTTTCAGCAAATGTCTTCAGATCTTCAGGTATGTGTTCGTTTTCGTAAAGCACAACCCACGGTTTGCTCCTGTAAGCGTTTTGAAACGCCTTCAGCTCCGCTATCTGTCTGTTGCAGCTTCTTCCTAACAGATCCCACAGCTGGGCATCACCTAGCAAGTCTTGGATTAGGCGCGGGTCTCCTCCGTTGGCCTTCAGCAACTCCGTTCGCTGTGCATAATTAACGGAAGCCTCATCTCGAATCAGATCTTCCTCATCTTACCTTCGTCGTTAGACGGTTTTCCGCTGCCCGAAAGGTGCGAGCCCATTCTTGACGGAGCTGCTGAGCTAGGGGGTAAAAAAGTTCTGTGGCACGAAGTGGTATTTGCGCGTATTCCGACGTGCTGAAAAATATTTTCGACTCCAAAGCGCTCTCTACGGCCTTCTTGTCTTGACCCTTGGTCATGATCCATAGAATGCCGTAAGTCTTCTCGAGCTTTCGGATATCAAACTCTGAAGTATCCGACAATCTAGGCCAGAGGGAGTCTTTGCACGCTGGCAGTATGACCGCACGAGTAGTGAAGCCGCATTCGACGAAGCCTTGATATACTATTAGGGAGTCGCTCACCTTGGCTCTATGTGAATATAGAGGAGGAGAGGAGAGGAGACTTACAATCTTCTGTTGGAATCTGAGCCAGGACCGCTAAACTCGGTGCTGTGTTGGACTGGAGCTTCCATACAACATCGTGTCTGGTTGTCCTGAATGTCTGTCGAACCGGCACTTCTGGTCGAACCTTACGCCACCAACGACAACGGACACCGGTTGAGGAAGACGAAAGGAGAACCCCATCGCCAAGCGCACCAACCCAACCGGATGTGAGCGCTAGACCATCAAGCGTAGGACTAAGGATACGTACAAAAGGCGTCTGGAGCGAATGTCGACTCCCATGAAATCATTGGCCCGTGCAGCCAACTCGGTGACGTCTTGAAGAAGGGGATAACCTCTACTCCTTATATCGTTTTCCAGCCTCTTCGTAATAGTCGTGGACTGGCCGTTGGCAATCTCAAGGTGCTGCCCGGAGCCAGGCAGGAGGGATCTCCATGCAGAAGCCTCCACGAAGCGCATGCTGTCAGTGCTTGGTGGAAGGAGTAGTCGCGCATTTCGCAAGTCCCGTTGTTGAACAGCAATTTGAAGCGGCCTTGCCTCGCTGAAGTCCGGTATATTCGTTTGAGCACCTCTGTCAAGGAGCAGTCGCACGACCTCTGTGTTCCTGTTGAATGTGGCAGCATGAAGAGCAGTTCTATACTCGCCGCCTTGAGCATTGAGATCCGCACCTCTGTCAAGAAGCAACTGCACGATCTCCGTTATCCCCCTCCATGCAGCGGCCTGGAGAGCAGTGCCATACCAGCCTCCTTGAGCATTGACATCCGCACCGTTGTCAAGAAGCAGTCGCACGATCTCCGTCTCTCCTTTCGATGCGGCGGCCTGGAGAGCAGTCCCAT